CAAGCTTCCCATCCCACCCAAGTGCCATATTCCAAGTGGCACGGCAAGTACAAAGAGCAGAGTGGACACGCACACTCGCCCTTTCTGCCTTTAAGGGGAAAAAAACCAAAAAACCTTCACCATAATTTCAGTCAATTGAATTTCTCAAGCATCCAGACGTATTCAAAACAAAAGCAAACTTAACAAGTTATTCTTGGGTTTGAGAAATGGTATGTGAGCTCTACTCTAGTCAAACTTTGCTCTCTCTCAAAAGACAAGTGGATACACATATGAAAGTAATAAACCCTACTCCTGTTCTTCAAGTGCTTAAAACAATTATGGCACTAAATGAACACTGAAAATTGCATTTTAAGTACAGAGGGTGGGAGGATATTCACAGAGGCCTGGCTGTAGCCAAGGGTACTAGCTTTCCTGAGCTCTCTTAAAAATTAATGGAGAGGGAGACTTTTTAAGGGGGTGATTCAGAGCTAAGCTTCTCTGTCACTCTCATCTCTTTCCCACCAACTGTAAACTCCTCCCCACTGGCTGTACTCCATGGGTTATGGGACCACTTGGGGAATATTTCATTCCCTCAGCAAGATTTTTACCTCTCTCTGTAGAGGCTTCCTTCTAATGGAATCAACTGGTCAGAATATCAGGAAAGCTGGCATCATTGTGCAACAATGTCTCCTCCTCCAAACGCTGGCAGGATATTTAACACCTTATTCTCACTCTACTTATTTCAATTTGCAGATAACCTGATTATTTTAATTGATGACACTACCATTTTAGGGTGCTCTGGGGCACTTTGCAAAGACTTATATGTAGGAAACGGTCAGAACACTTTATAACCGAAAGTTATAAAGCTCCAAATCCAAATGTTAAAAGGTGTTATGATGTTTGCCAGGACATTATCAAACATTGGGCCTTCTTCAGTCCACACTAAGCCATATGGTACCCTCTTACTTGACACAGGGGACTGCAGAAACTGGGAATAAAGCCCTGTCTCACAGCCCTGGTCCCTTCAGGACATGGAAAGGACCAGCTCTACCAACAAGAGAATATTCTTCAGATTTCCCACTCCCCTGCCACAAGGAATACTTCTTGTGAAGATAAAGCAGGGAGAAAGCACTGGGCTTTTCTTATCTAGCTTTTCTTTAGGCAAGTAAGACAACACAATGGTGAATGTACCCTAGAGATACTTCAGTATTTTTACACTAAAGATTTCTTTAAATGGGCTTCCAATTTCAAATATTTCTAAAATTAATGGCAGGGTAAGGAAGACTGAAGAAGAGTTCCTGACTTCCCTCCTTCTCCTTGGATCCTCCATGCAAGTGTTCCATTTGATACACACACCTTGTCAGGTGAGGGACAGGTCAGGGGGAAATAAGGAATTGGGAAGTTTCAGCAAAAACATTCCTTTTGTCACATTCCCTGGGTAATCACTCACTGCTTTGTTTCCAGGACCTTTGTCCCATCTCACAGAACTCATTCTGCCTAGGATGCCTTTCAATGTCCACTGCATATGACCCCAAAAAACCACAATAACTTATTTATTTATTTCTCCTTATTACTCCTTTGTGCTCTGCAGGAGTTTGTCAGAGAGCTCTAGTGAACGGAGAATCCACTACATCACATTACTACTGGTATTTTTCATAGGCAGAAGGGTAGCAAGAGATTAGAAAGCAACTCCCCACCAACCATTGTTTTGAGAGGGAGACATACAGTGTTTCAGTGTTAGACTATCACAATTTTTAATGACAGTTTGTATATACAGAAAGGTTTTGTTTTGGTTTTTTTCCTGTTTTTCAGAAAGCCTTCTGTTTAGATAAATTGTTCTGAACACAAAAAAAAATTAAAAAAAAAATTAAAAAAATCAACACAAAATAAAAAGCTGTGCTTCACCTTCTTCACAGGAAACATTTGAAAGGTAACTGTCACAAAGACATCTGTGCTTGCACAAGCAGAACTAAACCAGATTAAAAGCAGGGGAGAACAAGTATTTATGGAAAGTAGAATATGAATACTTCCGTTCACATAGTGAAATAGAATTTCATCAAGACTCTTGATGTTTACTCCCTTAATAATGATCATTCAAGCAAAAAACACTAGTCTCTCCTAACTGTTTCTGGAGAGAAAGCAGGAAAATCGTAATATTATTAAGTAGGAAAAGACTCCACTGCAAGTAAATCCAATTCTAAACATATGAGAAGGAATCAAGTGACATCCCTGTCTTTAAATCTTACTTAACTCAGAGTAGTAGATGTCATGATGGGAACAGAATTAAGCCCTTTGTGTCCACATTTCAGTATTTTGTGCACTGTTAAAAATTAAGAACCAAACGGAATATTTAATTCCTGAAAACATTCCTCACCAGATTGTAAATATTTTTATGAGGTTATATCAAGATCTTAAACTAATTGGTAAGGGCTCCTTTGAGGTCATTACACCAGTTACTTCAATGAAGAACAACCTCTAGGGCAGAGCACACCTTTATGCACGACCTAAATAAAAAAACACCTCACTGAGTGCTCAGTACTGGGGTGTTTCAACATGAACAGAGGCAGGAATTTCAGATAATCGTTAATTGCCCCTTATTCTATCCCAACAAAAAATATTTTCCTACCCCACAATGTTTAAGGTCACTATTTTAAATAAACCAGATTTAGTGGCATAGGGAAAACTAAGTCCAAAGGTTTTCCTTTTTACACAGTACACTGACCCCTGCCTTCATTATGGGCCATAAACATTTATGAGAGTTCGTCATCAGCTTGCTGACACAACATATTTTATCTAGCATCCTACAGCCACATATCAATTAACTCCAAGGAGCTTTCTGAAAGACTGAATCTTCTCAATTCTCAATTCTTCCCAATTCTCCTTCACCCCACATCCTAAAAGGTTTCTTGTGTGTGCATTGAGAAGCTAGATTTTTAACAGATACAAAAAAATAAGCACATGAACAAAGCACTTAACTATAATAGATCACAGTAGATAATTTCCTTATATTTCCATTTTTTTCTTATCCTCCTTTTCTACTGGTTTTAAAGCCATCAGTTGTTTGTGCATTCATAAATATCCTCATCCTAGATATGTAAACAAATATAGGAGGAAATTCTCAAACCTGATTTTTGCCATTTGACACACTAAAATAAAAGTCCTGATTTTTATAAGGAAGATTTTGGCACATTAAATTCCCAAACTAACTCTTACCAGCTGTGTGGCTAAGTTCACCACAGCTTATGTGCACTACCTTCTTGCTTGTGGTTTAGGTAACTTTTTCTTTTTTTTTTTTTTTTGAACAGACAACAACCACATGCTGGAAATGAAAAGAGAACAAAACCATTTCTCCCAGCGTCATTATGGTATATGCAACTGGTGATTGCCCAGATGATGCACTGGGGAGCTGGGAACACCCCCTTCCTGGTCCTGTCCATTCCTAGGAGAGCCACAGGCAAATCTGAGAGTGGAGACTGAGCATTTCTTTCAGAGGGTCCAGCAGATGAGACAGAAGATCAAAGCCATGTCTCACACAAGTAAGGAACAGTGTAAGGAAGGGAAGTTCATGGTACTTTCCTGTGCTTGGCCCCTCCCCAGCAACTCCCTGCCATGAGGTCTAACTCTCAATTGTAAGAGAGCTGTTTCTACCACGGAAATGAAATTGAGGATAGTCTGATTCCTGCCTGGAGCTGTAATCTTCTTCAATTTAAAAATCCCTCAGGACACCTGAGCAGAGCTGGGAATTCAAATAAAAGGATTTCTGAGGAGATACAAACTGTTTGTAGACTGGCTTATTTTTCAAATAACAATTTCAGTTTAAGAGAGTATTAACCACCTATTTCAGCACTTTTGCATTAAGCATTTACTGTGTCTACACACCACACAATTTTTGGTGGCTCATATGTAAGAAAAGTTACTTAATCTAATACTGTAGTCCATCACCTACAGGTGTAATTCTGACCTAGACAGCAAAGAAAACAAAATCACCAACCCTAGCCAAAGCAAAACCCATTTGGTTTACTGTAAGTAAAGCTCACGTGAGCACCAAACTCATGTCCAAGCACAGAAATTATTCACTTTCTGTGTAATCACCTTCAAAACAAGTTGAGAAAAGTTCTCTCTGTACCACAACCTCTCACTGTCACCTGAAGTCACTATAAACTGTAGTGAGATCCTGTTGCTAAGAGGAAGCATGTCTCTGGAGTTATTTCCTTTCTCTCGCCATTACTCAGTCCCTGTGTTTCAGCATTTCTCAGACACTAGGTGTATGCCTCATTAGATCACTGATCACTGTCACTGCAATGCATTTCTTATTGAAATTCATCATTCCCTCTTCTTTCAGCCCTGGATCTACTTCACACCCCTCCTTCCTCCTTCTTATGAACACTGTCTACTGTTCCATGATAGAAATAATGACACAAGCACACACTGAGACCAGTAAATCCTGTATTATAAGGAACTGAATTTCTATAGGTGCTTTGACCTGGGATTTAAAAAAAAAAAAAAAAAAAAAAAGGAGGGTGAAGGAAAAGACCTAAATAAAGTGCTACCACTTAAGGAGCTGAAGTTTAAAATGTCACACAAACTAATCTCCATAACTCTGGGACATAATTTCCTTTGTTCTTATTTTAGTAATTACCAATTCAGTAAGGAAGAGGTTTTCTTCCTACCACGTGCAATACTTAAACCAGGGAAGCCCATTTATTTTACTGGTTTTTGACCCTAAAGGAGAAGACATATGCATCTAAAAACCTCTGCATTGCTCCATTTCCATTTACACGGAATATGTGTAATATATCCCCTGTAAGATGCAATTTCTAAGCACTGCATGTATTATGAGTGTCGCTGTATGTAAAAAGAACTACAGAAAAGTCTCTGCCATAACTGAAGTTTATACCAGCACTTGCAAAATTGTACAGGTCTGCTATACCAACAGCATTTTCTTTCTTCTCTTTATTCAAGTGTTTCAGAGGTCTTTTGGTACATGTCACCTGAAAGGGGCTTCTTTTGTTACATCTTACCTGAAAGCAGATACACAGAGCTGAAATTCTTCTCCAGTTTGCCCAGGAGCACAGTAAGAAAGCAGTCAGATGAGAGAGAGGTCACATCTTTAGAGCTTTGGTCATACACCACCACTTCCTGCTTGCAGTCAATTTCAATCTGAAACACAAGGAACTCAGAGTAAAACAGGAAGGAGGAAGATGATTAAAAGCACCACATTATCACCTCCATCAGGCTTCCCGCATATTTGCTATAACAGCAGTTCAGATATATAGATTTCTTACGCACCTGTCCATTAAACAGGTTTTTTATATACTTCATAAGCCTCTCAGATTTAAATCCCTGGAGAGTTTGTAAATTGATTATTTGCTGCAAGTTGAAGCCCACTCCACAAATTTCTATCATTTGGTAATTTTATATCACTTGTGAAATGCTCTACCTTCAGCTAGGCTGGTGGATTTGTTTAGAAACTGAGCTTTTTAGAAGGTGGCCCTGCCTCACTTTCTGCTTCTGAGGGTTTTGTACATAAACAGAAAAGAGACCCTAAACCGCCTCTAAGCCACAGACGTTTTGGTTACCTGCGCAACTTTATATATAAAATACCCTTTAGATAATAAAAATAAAAAGCTTAATTTTTAGCATGTCAAAGCAAGAATACAGTATATTATTTTTGTACCCAAAACACATGAAACAAATATCAATGGATAAAAAAAAAACAATACCACCCCCCACATTAATTTTAAACAGCATAGCTATTTTCTTTTCACTGATAACACTATTTAGAGAAAACCACACCCCTCCTCCCAAATAAACAAACAACAAAACAAACACCAAAATTCATCAAATTGCCCCCATGAAAAGTCCTTTAAACAGCAAGTAGGAGCCAGGACTGACAGAGAGGCAGTTTCTTTGCAAACAAATGACCACTTGCTAAGCAAGCCCAAACACCACAGAACCCCAAGAATCCTTCAAATCTTAGGAGAGAATGTTTCCTGCCTTAATTGTATACATTTAAGAAACTGCTTTGCAAGACACACAAGAACCCAGAGAACACTCTTTCTGAGTAATTTCTAAATCCCTCCCCTTACCTCTGTCACTGATTCTACAAAGAGTCCCAATGATAAACTCAATAGTAACCAATACTCTCTTTGATCAGGCAACATCTCAGCTAAACTCAGTCCTTTAATCTTACTGGGTTTTGTTTAATGAAATACATAAGGAAAAATTATTACAAGTTGTTTTCCATCCACCCCTTTAATCAAATATAAGGAATAAGAGGAAAATGACTTTACCTTGTGTTTTGCTGAATGCTGAATGAGCTCTGTGATCAAAACTTTGTCCTGCTGCAGCCTGCGCTTCATGAGCTTGGAGCAGTTGATGTTGATGGCATCCAGGATGTGGGAGGTGTTGTATTCCACAAAGGGGCGGCTATCAATCAGCAGCAACTTCTGTGTCCCGCTCTCCAGCAAAGCCACCAACTTCTCAGCGACAATGAGTTGGGTCCTGATCATCTCACCGGCCATGACAACAACAAGGCCTCTTTCCCCACCTCCCTCTCTAATTTGCTGCGATGATGTAATGGCTGTGTACTCAAAGGCTTAGCCACACCATTGTACTAGAAGTGTATGAGGTCATGCTGGCAGTGACTGGCAAAAGAAAAGTTAAATACATTTTCAGAAAGAGCTCTTGGACTGAATGTCTCCTCCTGCTTCCAGTTGATGTACAAATGGTTGGCTCCACAAAGAAGCCCCTCACGTCTGATTCATCAGGAGATGACTATGGAGTAGCCATTTCAAAATTCACACAAAAGATGCTTTCTGGGTGCTGCTGCATTACATCATTCTTTACCTTTGCTCCCACCCATCAGCTTTACACCAGACTGAGAGCCTGTATGAAGGGGAAGATGAAAAACACAAAAAACACAAATCAGATGAGGCCATGAAACTTCGCAGAACAAAACATTCAGCTCTGAGGCTTAGCTGTACAGTGGGCCATCGCATGTAATGAACACATTCCTGAGGAGTTCTCCTCTCTGCTGGATGTGCCAAACACCTAGAGAGAGCATTGGCAACTACAGGCTCTGAATCCATTCCAACAATCTTGCCTGGACTATTACTTTGTATTTCAGGCAACATACCCTGCCTTAATTGCAGACTTTTGTTGCCACTAGCTCTGCCTCTTCACAAGACTTTGTTAGAATATAATTAAGAGATACTGCCCTAAATAATGGTATTCCTTTCAATAGCAGAACTAGAACTATTTAAATGCATTTTAGCATTGCACCACTTAATAAGAAGTAAAATTTGTTTTTAAAACACTTAAACATTTTAAACATTAAACATTTTTAACATTTAATGACTTGGAAAGTATTTCACAAAACAGCACTGCAAGTTGGGAAACTGAAACTACACAAAAGAAAGGACCAAACTTACATCCACCTCTCTAAAGCAAATGCTTGAATAGAAACCAGGACAAGATGCCACATCAGGACACAAGTACTTTATTTGAATTAATCACTAGAGATGGATGAGGTCTCCCACTACTGGAAGGTAAAGCAGTGAGCACTCTTCTGTTCTTCCTGGATCTGTTTGATGTTTATGTGAGGTGTGTAACTCCCAGCATCCATGCTAAATAATCTCTGAAATAAACTATACTTCTCTAAAATTAGATTCTGACAGCATCTGAACAACATCAACTGAAAGAGCAGCAGCAGAGCAATAAATTCCCAACACCTTTAACCCCCTCTTTGTACCACTGCCTCACAGTTGCCCTTGGGAGACTCCCCAGAGTCTCCCAAAACACGTTCAGATGGGACAAGTGCTTGTAGGAACACTCCTCAGAAAGGAGCCACCATGGGACTGTGTCCTTCCGGGATTTAGCTCACATTTGAACTTAGATTTTATAGCTGACTTGCTGCTTCCATTTGAAATGTGTGTTTGTTATTTACCTTAATTGCAAGAGAAGTAATGACTTCAAACTATCGATATATTTATATTAAATGTCCTGTTATATCAACAGGCCAGTTGCATTTGGCAGTGGGAAATCCCAGATCTGAAGACGTTTTACTCTTTAGATATATTGCACAAATCTACATTTACACAATCTTAAGCAAAATAAATTCTGCAAGAAGTACAAACTTCACCTTAACAACCCAAAATAGGAAACTGGAAGTTGATTCATGAGTTTCATGTGGCAATAGAAGAAAAACACCAGCTTCCACGCAGACAGACATTAGGTTGACAAAACGCGATTTTCCATTTGTCCTGATTTAGTGCTCTTCTGACAGAGCTGTTGAGCTTGCCCAGATAAATGGAAGCACATAGCAGTGAAATGCATATTGCTCTAAACGACAGTAAAAATATTGGAAAATATACTAAGTTTTCATTAAATGTTTTAAAGAACCCAGTTGGCATGTGTGCTCCCCCTCAAATAGCAGTCATTATACACTAGTCTCAGGAAGGTACCAAAAGAAAACCGATTATCAAAATGACATTTTGCAAGGGGGGGGAAGGAATCTTGACAGTTATATCAATTTTTCCCCCTTCAGGAAAATAGTATTCTGGAATTTTAAAAATTTCTCTTAACATGTCCTGTCACAAATTTTGGTTCTCTTTTATTCACAACAAAGGTTGCCAGATACCAAATCCACTGAACTCAATGAAAACTCTTCCACTGGCTCTACTGGGAATTGGCTCCAGCTCCTTTGTAAGCTAGACAGTTTGTTCATGAACTAGACAGTTTGTTTTGATGGATAAATTGCTGACTTAAAGTCCAAGTCATAATGGGAAAATAAAGCAGCTGAGAAAGTACAGAAGTCTAAAACAGATGCTGTTAGAAATACTTAATCTTTAATTTGCAACTTTCAGTTTGGGTATGCTTCTTATCTTCTAAAAGCTTACTGTTTGCTGTCTCAGCCTTTACTTTCATACAACAGAAGTTTGTTTCAAAAGATTCTTGTGAAGAACTCGAACCAGTCATATCTGATTACAGGGTAAAGAGCATGTAAAGAACATATGGCAAATGGGCTTCAGTCAAGAATGCTTTTAAATAGCCCTATTACCTCAACATACCAAGTACCTTGAAAGAATTCTGCCCATGGCTTGAAAGCAATAAATTTAACAGTAATGTCACCTTGGGTTATTCCAATTGAAGACTTACTTCGACAGGAACTTCTCAATGGTACAGGGGACAAACAACAATTTTATGAAGTACAGGTTTTTCTTTTTATTCTGTCTGTTTCTGGAACTATCAGAGTTTGTAACTCTTCCCTGGGACCTATCTAAGCAAGAAGAACTGGAAGCCTCTTGCTTACTCTGAGCATTCATCCCCTTCCTCATGACTGCTTTTATCATTCAGCTTCTATGAGGTATTGAGACATCTGTTTAATTTCTAATGCATTTGGAAACAGATAAAATTCAAATTATTGACTGTTCCCTTTCTACTTGTGACTTAGACCTCAATGGTATTATAGTGTCTCGTAAAACAATGTCATATAATGCTTTGCCCCAAACAGGCCATTATGCTGCTGACCTTAAAGCCAGGAAGCCATCCTAGTCACAGGGTGCTCCGTGCTGAAAGCAAGATTATGAAAAGTGATCCGTAACTGAGCCATGAGAATTCCCCACATAGTGATTCATGTACCCACTGGGAACACTGCATGGCTGCTTCCTTCTTCTAGAGAGACTGCAACACTAGCACTTTTAAACCAGAAAATTCAACATTTAACTCACTTTGAAATGAAAAAGATCTGTTCCACACTTGCCCAGTACCTTTACAGCCTTTCCTTATTGTTTAAAGAACCAAACCAAGAATCCTCCTATTATCTTGCATACAAACAACAGTGGATTACTGAAGTTTACATGTATGTTTAATGCTGCCACAGAACTACAGGATCTCTCGCCTCAGGGATTCCTGTCCCCATCTCAACTGGCTCAGATGCAGTGAAACAAGCGAGTGCCACATTTTCGGTTATGTGGTTGTGTTTGGTTTTTCAGTTACAGTAATTCACATTTTGTATGCACTCCTGATTTCTACTGCTGTCACTTTGACTCCAAGCAATTCTTTTCCATCACAACAGGATGATTGTTTGAGTTCTCAGGTTTTGGCTCATACAGAATCACAGAATTATTTAGGTTGGAAGAGACCTCCAAGATCATCGAGTCCAACTGTTAAAGTAACATTGCCAAGTCCATCACTAAGCCATGTCCCTAAGCTCCACATCTACACATCTTTCAAATACTTCCTGGGATGAGAGGCAGATGTGTTAGGAATATAGTTTAAAAACTCTCAGAGCAAGAGTCTTTAATTCTACCCCAGTTAAGGAACTAGCAAGGTGCTTCTTGAAGCCTTGCTACAATCTCTGAAAGATTTCTGCCTCATATTAAGAAGATAACCTTGAAGTTGAACCTTGCAGTCATAAATGCGTGGCTGCGTCACTAATGCCTGCTTTGTCAGGAGCCTGCAGCAGTGCTCCCATCATGCAAAACACCAACAAAAACACTTTCCAGCACCTGAACAAGGTCCTGATGTGCAGCCTTTATGAACTCAGATGAAACACCTGAAGGAGTTGGTTTTTAAAACCATGTATTTTTCTACTTTTTACGGGCAAACGCATGTACATATGAGAAAAACATTACCATCCACTAGAGTCTTTTTCATGGTTCTTAGGGTGGGCACAATTGTAAAAGAAAAATTGAAGAGCTAAATTAAAAATAAAATGTAGAGCATCCCAAACTGCAGGACAGAAGCCACTGCTGGCTGTTTCAAAAGGGGTATTTGGCTTCAGAGTTACTGGGAGTGGCCAGTGGTTCAACAGCTGGTGCCAATACCATCAGCACCAGTCGCTATTACCACAGCCACACCTGATACTGGACAAACAAGCCTACATGAACTAGAGAGGAACTCCAGATCCAGGGATCACAGGGTGAATTCCTACTCCTGCGAGAACCTTCTCCCCTCTGCCAACACCTGTAACAGGCACAGCATTCCCTCACCACCCTCAAAAAGATGGAAATAAATTGTGTTCTGAATGGTTCCTTTTCCCAGTGCTATGAGAGAATAAGTGACAGCTGAGACAGGTCCAACCCTTGTTCAAGATGTTACTTAGTAGCCAGAAACAGAGTGTCTATGGAGCACAAGGGAAATAAAATTTTTAATTGACAGTGAGGAATAGCTGTTCTTTCACATTCGGCAAGCAAGCCAGTAAATTCCAGAGATCAACAACTGTGTAATAAAGTTCAAAGTCTGGGGGAAAAAATCATTATCTGAATTTAGAGAAGCATATGTATTACCTATCATTGCGCAGAACACACTAGAGTGAGATAGCAAATGCTTGTAAATTCAAAGAGCTCTGTTAACAAGGGCTCATGTCATTCCTTCAGCTCAGGGGAATGAGGGTGTCTTGGGCTTTTTGGATGAGAAGTGTCACTATCTCATAAACACATCATTTCTTCATGTTTCCTGGCAGGGAGGTTGAAGAACAGATACTTTCCACCACCCTCTGAGCACATTCCACTTTGGTGCAAGACAGGACAGCAGCACAGAAAGTCACTTAAACAGAAACACATAAATTTTATTTTTTTTTTCTAATGTCACTCAAGTACCATGTTCATAAAAAAGAAGCAGTTTAGAAAATTCTACCCTGTTTTCCTTTGCTTATCTATGGGTGCTCCCTCTTCTCCTACTTTTAACACTGTCTGTTTGATCTATATATGCAGTAAAAATGCATAGTGTTAATTTTCTTTTCCTTGTAGAAACACCAGTCACTTACATTTTAGACTACACACTCTACAACCATGAGAAATGCAAGTGTAATGCATTGGAAAAAAAATAGATGAAGGTGGATTTTCTGTTCAGTACTTTTTTGTCCTTCATCCTGCTTGACTAATTACTCAACTTTGATTACTAGTTCTAAAGAAAAGTGTCCCCACTTCATTGTGCTCACCAATCTGAAAACAGACAGAGAGAGTCAGAAAGGAAATCAGCCTCCCACAATTATACTGCATAAAAGACTTCCAGTTAAGATCTTTAAGCTCACTCTAATTCTACACCTACTGCTCATTGTCACTCTGAGACAGCTGGGCTAAGCAAGAGGAATGGGCCTTCCATTTAGATAACAGATATTTTCTGTCATACAAATAGTCATATTTGAAATAATATTATTTCAAAATAAAACCAAAAACCACACCAAACCACCACATTTGCCTGACCTGCCCAGCATAGCTCTCAAATACCTGCAATGTTCTTGCAAATATCACCTGTGCACCATCACCATCTCTAAGCAATAAACCAGATTATCATCACTTGCTTTTACCAAGAAGCCAATCTCTTTGAAATTCCCAGTGAAACAATAAACATTTATTAAGTGTGACCACAGGGAAACCTGACTGGCAGAACATGGTCTCACAGGAAGCATTAGAACATGCTGCTGATATATTACATCACTCTATTCAAAAGAGACTCAGACTTAATCTGGGGACTCCCTTCTCCACCCATACGAGTGAGAAGCTCTTTCCATTTCAAAATACTTTTTCACTGCAGGTTTACAGCATATAGGTCTGTGGCAACCAGAATGAAAGATTACTTAATCCAAGCAGATACTATAATACATTACATTTTTAGGTTCCTATTGCTTGGGACACTAGACAACCAGGAAAAGTGTCAACGGATTTTTAAAAGATGATTCTTACTCTATGACCTCCAAGTCAAAGCAACTGAAAATTCTGGAGTATGAATTTTTTATGAATGCATTAGTATTTCATGTCAAACACTGTTACTCACCTACATTTAAGTTACAACTTATATGGGCTGAACAGGACTGAATGTGGTCCACATACAAAGGCCAGCAGAAGGAATTACCTAAACACAGGAAAATAATAATATTAATAATAATAAAATCCTTATTACAAGATTAAAAAGCACCAAAAAAACCCAGACAAACACCCCCCCAAGCCAAACCAGGAAATGGATTTTACACTTTCAGTGCAGTCATTTGCTGTACAACTCCCCCAAACACAGGAAAACCTAGGTGAGAGGTTATTTATGAATGCTGATATTCATTTACATGGAATGGGTCCAAAACAGAAAGTTGGACTACACTGATTTTCTGAAAGAAAAAGGAATAAATGCCTCTACTATCTTTAAATTGAAATTTTAAAAACAAAAGTTAGAGATGCTTTAAAAATCCCCAACAAACAAAAAACCAACCAGGAGAGCCTTTCAAACTCTCTGACCTATCTCACTGCTAGACAACCAATGTATAATTCAGCATTAACAGGTGATGCATCTGTATGGAATTAAACAAATTCACAGTCACATCAGCACTAATCTAGTACTAGTATTAATGTGAAAGATTGCCACAAGTGTGAATACAGCTGTATTTTGCATGGACAGAGACCAATGAAACAAGACATTCGTGTAATTAAGCCTATCTCCCCACACTCTAAAAAAGCCAGCACTGGAAACTGGTAACACTAGTGTCACCAATCATTACACACAGTCATACCCATACAACTTCCACCCAAAGCACCTGCTGTTCCAACAGGAGCAAATTAAATTACAACTTCTACACAAGGAAGCAAAAATAAACACATCAGCGTCAGTTCCAAACTGTCCTCTGGGCAGCTAATCCCAAAATTCAAATCATGGCTGCCAAGAAATGACAGCTCCCCTTAATCACTGTGATACAAACCATGACAATAAATTATTGCCAAACAGTGCTCTGCTGTGAGATCCAGGAGTGGCTCTGAAGCACAGAGTAAATGATATGACAACTGAGAAGAGCCACCCCAGCAAAGGCCCAGGCATGTTATGGTCAACAGCCTGAAAACCCACAGCATCCCACAAGGAAAAGAACTACAGGGATCAGTCACCTCTCTGTCTTTAGGCAAATGGCAGCAGTAGAATATCGGGTGAGAACCCTTCAGACAGATACCGAGGTTACAACCCAGAATAGGCTTTGCTCTCTAGGCTCATCTCTTGATTGGGACCCTGTGTTTTCCCCTGGAAGGACCCAGGCTGGAGATCCTCTCTCTTCCCATCATTAGTATTTAGGCATGTGTACGCGAGAGTAGCAGGGCAGAGAGCTCAATGAGAAGGTCTGCTGAAGATTAGGTTGGGTGCTTTTCCCCCCTCTGCCTGCTCCAGTCTTATTCCTTTCTGAGCCACAGGAAGCGGCTCTGCAGACCTCCCTTGCTCCTTCCCATAATCCAGTGGCAGAAGGCAACAGAGAACAAGAAGAAAACTCATCTTTCTTGTCATATTTGTTGCTATCCCCTTTTCTAATCTCATCCCAGAAATTAACACTAAACTAATGCTCAGCAGTGATTAGGCTCTGCCTAGAGACAGGGAGCTATGATCTGAGACCACCCTGTGACAGCCCAAAGAAACAAAGTCCAGAGAAAAAAAGCACCTCCTCTTTTGTTCCTCAGTGCTTCATGTGCAGCTCCCTCAAGTCCCTGTGAAAGCTGTCAGGTAGTCTTCACATCACCATACCTGCCTCTCTGTGCCATCCATGCCATGTCATGACTACTTCTGCCAGCCACACTCCTCTGATGTTCTTAAAAATAAAACAGCTCTCACCTCAGGACAATATATTCTGTTTTCCCCACTTTAATAAATACATTAAATCAAGTGTTTAAAGCAGCCCCCAAGAGTCCTCATTTCACCACAGGGCATGATTAATTCTGCTGAAGAGGAGATGAGAAACAAAGCATACACTTAATTTCAACACAGTTTACTGGAAGGAGGTGTCACATTTTAAGAACAGGAGCCACTCATGATAGAAGACTGAGCTGCTGCAACTTCAGCCATAAATATTAAGCACATTTGGAAATTCCCTGGCAAAGCTGTTTAAGGAACAGACATTTCCTGTAATTTTCAGAAACATTTTATATTCCCCCCCTGCTCCTATTTAATCTTGGTGGTAAGGAAGGGAAGAGAGAGAGAGGATACCGTATTACCATTAAGTGAAATATGGATGAGCCACCCAAGTTTAAAGTGGAAACTTCAGCTATTTGTGCTCAGGAGAAAGTTTTAAAAAAAGTTTCATCATTAAGAGGTGAAGATTTTTCTGCTGACTTTAGAAAAAGAAATTTACATCCTTTCAATTAGGGTGAATTACAAAGGATATAAACTTGTCTTCATACTTCTGGCAAATTAGAAGTCCCTCAGGCCTTATTTAAAAACCTTTTCCTATTTTCCAGAACTAAAAATTGAAGTATTTTTTTCCTCTTTTCTTGCTCAGGGCCTTCCCTAAACTGCAGTTAAACAAACCCAACCAGTGAGGTCACACAGAGTGTTACTCCCATGGCAGAGAGTGAGGAGAATTGAGCAAGAGAGAAGTCAGGGAGAGATGGAAGAGTCAAATGTGACAGCATCCCTCTAAGGACCTCACTACCTTCCTCTTTTTCCCAAAAATCTAATCTTGTATGAAGTATTTGGTGTAAAATTTATTAAGTTTACATTAAGTTAGAAAATTATTTCACTTATCTATGTAATCCAAATCTGAAGAGATCCAATCCAAAACCACAGCATACAACACATGAATTCACAAACCAAATAAAACTGAAGGACAGTTGCCTATCTCCACAAAACGCAACAGGGCTACTTTGGCCCTGTACACCAAATGGCAAAGGTCACCAGGAATGGTGATCATGCAATTGTGACCAATTCTCCACACCTGCCACACTCTACCAGCAACTGTATAGTAGCTTTCAAAGGCACAAAGAAAACAAGGTAACACAATGAAAAACGTGTTGAACTAATTAATTAATCCTCAAGCTGTTGCAATTCCAGCATCTCTTTGCTATTTGTATGATATGGGTGCTTTATAGCAGCATCTTTATGATGCCAAAGTTTCCATCTCCTACACAAGCTGCATGTTCTGAACTGCCTGTTCTGCAGCTCAACACAAGCAGACCAACACAAACAGTGACTTCTGTATTTTACATAGTCATATTTTTGCTGAGAAAGGGATTAAAAAGAGGAGTTCTCTAAAGAGTAGTGCTAAATAAACATCAAGCACAGCTGTTTTAATAGTCCATGCTTCTTCTTTAAAAGGCTTACCATGGAAGAGGGTAAGATGGGACCTCAGAGTCTTCAGATAGTGGTAAATTTTTAAACATAAGGCATTCTGCCTAATGTGAGCCTTGGAGGGGAAGACGTCCAAATAATATGGCCCTGCAAATAAGGAGCCAAAAACTAGATTAAAAAAAGGGCAACTCTGATCTGCTTTGTGGTCACTTGATGATATAAACAGAAGGTGGATCTGAAATCATCAAACAAGGACTAGGATAGATTAAAGACAGAGGATAATGATGGTATTATTAAGGAAATTAATCAGAATAGCTTCTGGGCAAGGCAGGTATGAATTTCTTGCAGCAGACTTTTTATTAACTCTTCTCTTAAATTAAACTGAATTACTAAAATGAGTCAATCTCCTTTAAGAACAGAGACTTGTAAACTGCTTGCATGGTGTGGTACAACGTGGGTTAATATGTCCTGGTCTTTTACCCATTTGAGGAAATGACACCAGTTCTCCCGGAAGGCAAGATACACATTCAACCCCTTCACATCAGGGCATGAGAAAATTTGGAAGGAATTTTCTTCTTTTTTTTTTAAACTGTCAACATTAATACTTTGTTTCTTCCTGTTTGCGTTTGAAAATACAGTGCTCTACTGCACTGCATGCATGTCCTGTCAGCTGTACATGGAAATATCTAGAAGCTTAAAAAAAATACCAAATAGAAGTGTTCATTAAATCTGTTGTCAAACTCATTTTAAAAGCCCTCTGCGTGCTCTAAACAAAATCAATATTGCCACCAGTGTATGCTACATAGTAATAAAAGCATGCAGAAGCATCTTCAGAAGGGAGACTGGGCCAAATAAAACATTGACATTATACATACGTAAGCTCAGTCCTACCAGTTAAACTTAACTGGGTTTCTCCTTAAATGACATTTACATGGCAAGGAAGCAGAATAGATGGCAGAAAACAGCAAGTCTACAAACTTGGTACGGCCCAACTATCTTGAAGTGGGAACAGAAAAATAAACTTTGAGAAGTATGCTGTACAGCAATGGCTCTCAATTAACAGGCAGAAATAAATCAAGTTGTTATATGTTCTCAGAAATTAAACAGGTGCAGTAATCCTCCTAAGAGACCTCCCATTCTGAGCTGTTCAGAGTAGTGAGTGGTTCAGACTGTGATATGTAGTGAAGGTTGAATCGCAGATGAGGCACAGAAATTAACAAACCCCTAGATCCAGATGACTGTGACTCAAATCTCTCACCATGGTGTAAGACTACTGACAGCTCACACTCTGTTTTCTGTATGAGAACAGAATATGTTTGCATACCTAATTTGTAGCCACAAAGGTAATTATGATGGCATGCTTATTAAAATTGTTTTCAAATATTAATTTAATTGACAAGATGGTACCAACAGGTCCTCAGTTGGGAACAGAAGCAAGAGTCATGGTACCTCACTGAGCTATGATCCCAGCCACATGCTCTGGTGTGTCTTTCCCAAAGGATCCCAGATGTTTCTTTGAAATTTGAACCATATTATACCAGACCTGCAGCGGTGCCAAAGCCACATTTCTAACATGGTAACCACATGGCTGAAAAGAGAAGCCACATTCATCTGTACACTGGGAGAAGGAGGGCAGAGGATGACTTGTGTTCCCCAGCTGTGCCGACTGCATTACTACAAACATTACCACTGAAGTAGAATCACAGAGTCACAGAATGGTTTGGGTTGGAAGGGACCTTAAAGACATTTCACTTCAACCCTCCTGCCACGGGCAGGGACACTTTCCACTATCCTAGGCTTTTCACTATGCTCCAAGCTCTGTACAACCTGGCCTTGGACACTTCTAGGGATGGGGCAGCCACACTTCTTTAGGCAACCTGTGCTGAGGCCTCCCCACCCTCACAGGGAAGAACTTCTTCCTAATACCTAAACACACCCTGCCCTGTGAGCTTGAAGCCATTCCCCTTTGCCCTATCACTCCACACCCTTGTAACATCTCTTGTAGGTTTCCTTCAGGGGCTCCTGCCTGATTTAGAGGATGAAAAGTGACCTAACCACAATATACAGCAATCCCTCTTAGGAGCAATTGCTAAAACGTGACCACCATTTTATGTAGTGGGCAAGAACCAAGGACCAGGGTTTTTTTTAATTTTGAAGGGAAAAAATGCACAATTCCAAACTGAGGGAGTAAATGATGTTATTATTATCTCATAGGGATCTTACTCAAGGACCAGGGTCAACAAGAAATATATTATAGCAACCTCTCTCGGTTTATAACAGAAGCTTTAATAACAAAGACAAACAGAACACACTCCCTTAAAATACACCCATATTATCCCATTTGATGTGTGCTTAAATGCATGCACAGCTGTGTACAAATCTATAAAAAAGATGCTGCATTTCTTCAGAATCTGTAGAGTGTCTTGCTTTACACAGTTCTTTAAAAGGGAACTGGAAAGACACTGACTGTTGTTGAAGTAATCCCAAGCTTGGAGAGCTTAATATATTTCTGTAATAGCTGAAGTAATACATCAACAGAAAGGATCAACTTCAGGGCATGCAGAGCCAACTAAAATACTTGGAAAGAAGTTTATCATCTGCAAACTGCAAGATGCTTGTATTTCTTAAGTATTCAGCAACGGAAGGAGCACCAGCTCCTTGTCAACAATCATGGATACATCAATAAATAATACTGATTAGTTTTATAATGACTTACTCATTCTACATACATTCCTGCTGATACCATTGGCACATGTTCTGGCAATTTTCAGACTTCCAGTCTGCATGTGACCAGCAAATAAGAATGAGTTGGGATTTAATAACAGTCCTGAGGTTTTTACCTCCAGAAACTGATCCTGAAGGATGAAGGTATATGATGGGTGGTCCTTAATCACTTCCTTTATGTGAAAACTGAGGTCAGAGTAGAAAAAAGACCCAAGGAAGGAAGTCTGCAGCAACCCTCAAACCACCGCCCCCCCCCCCCCCCCCCCCCC